GAGTAGGGTTTCTAAGGAGCAGCTGGTGATCTTGAACCACCAGCCTTGAGGCTCAAACCAACTTTATAGTTGTTGTTGTTAGATGCCATCAAGTTGGTACCAACTCATAGCGACCCTATGCACAGCAGAATGAAACATTGCCCAATCCTGGACCAACCTCACTATTGTTGCCACGCTTGAGTCCATCGATGATGCCACCAGGCCATTCCATCTCATTGGGGGTCTTCCTCTTTTTCTCTGACCCTCCACCCTACCAAACATGATATTCTTAGAGTTCTTTTTTTTTCTTTATATACCACATATAAAACAAAAAAATATATATTCATTTTGCATGCCAGCTTCGTGCCCGAAGGCACACAGCCTTTCTCAGTCCTAGAGTCCTCAGGTGCTCTATCACTAATGTTGTTGTTGTTATGTGCTGTCAAGACAGTTCCCACCCATAGTGAGCCTGTGTAGGGTTTCCTAGAAGCGGCTGGTAGGCTTAAACCACCGACCTTGAGGTTCCAACCAACTTTGCAGTACAATAGAGTTCCTATAAATGTATTTAGATATACAGATTTATAGAATTAAGCATAGGTCATCCTTTACAAATATGCAAACGGATATATATGTATGTGAAATAAAATGGTTACATTTTTCTTCAGTTTACCATGGACACCAGGACTGTTGTTTTTGTCCTTGTGTGCTATGTGAGTTGGTTCCCACACTGGTGGTTGGAGTAGGGGAGCCTCCGGGGCCTAGTTACACATTGGGCTGTTAACTGTAGGCTCAGTGTTTCAATCCACCAGTCGCTCAGTCAAAGAAAGATGAGGCTTTCTGCTCCCATTGAGATTTACATCTTCAGAAAGCCTAGGAGTGGCTGGTGAGCTTGAACCATGTACCTTGCGGTTCATAGCAACTTTGCAGTCCAGTGCTTTAACCCATGGGGCTGCAGTGGGCTATCTTGTACCAACAGGGCTTTTTTTGCTGAGAAATAAGTATACTTGAATAAAGTATTCTAATCTCAAAAGTTAGCATGCCTCTTTGCATACAAAGTCTCAAAGAAAGAAGTTAATTGTTATAATAGTAGAAGCTTCCTGGGAATAATGAAAATTGATTCACTAAATCTTGTCAACTGAGAGAACCTTCTTTATTCCTTTTTTTTTTTAAAAGGCAAAAGCAACAACAATCAAAGAAGCCCTAGCCAGATGGGTGAGTACATGTGACTTTTCACCTCTTTTAGAAATTACACAAAGAAAATCTTTGGATAGTTATTTAAACCTGACCCACTCAACATGAGGAATCCTTGTGATATTGGAACTATTGAATGTCCTGACTATAGTAGGAGACACACAAGCCTACTCAGGTAATAAAATTGTGGAGAACTTCATAAACACACATACAAACGTATATATTGTTCTTGTTAAGTGCTGTCAAGTTGGTTCCGATTCATAGTGATCCTGTGTAGGATTTCTGAGGAGCAGCTGGTAGATTTGAACTGCCAACCTTGTGATTTGAAGTTCAGTGCTGATCTTACAGTGCCACACCAGGAGTCCATATATATGTATATATGTTGTTGTTGTTAAGTGTTGTCAAATCGGTTCCAACTCATAGTGACCCTGTATAGAGTTTCCAAGGAGCAGCTGGTGAGATTGAACCACCGACCTTGCATACCAGTGCATTATCCTACAATGCCATATCAGAATTCCATATACATACTCACTAATAAGTAAAAGTAAAATTGGGAAAAATCTGAGAAAGATTAATGAATTATATCAGTGTCTGTATCACAACTATGATAGTATCTGATAGTATAACAAAATGTTACCATTGAATGAAACTGGGCAAAATAAGAGACCTTGCTGTCCCCACATTATTTCTTACCAATTCATGTGAATATTCAGTTATTTCAAAAAAATTCAGTAAGAAAAATTTAGATATGGAAAAGCTAATTCATCTGTTATTGGCTAGAATCTGTGTGTTTCCCTTTTCTACTGTATCATCACTGTCAGGTGATAAGAATGGTGTGTGTGGTGCCGCAGGATCAGTACTGCACTGCTAACCAGAAGGTCATCGGTTCAAAACTACCAGCTGCTCCTCTGAAACTCTATTCAGGGTCGCTATGAGTTGGAACCGACTCGCCAGCACTTAAACAACAGTAGACAGATGATGGTTTTAGCCTCTTAGAACAGAGACAACCAATGTTGACATATGTAAATACACCTAGTCAACTGAAAAAATATCAAATAAATAAACTGCATATAGTCCTGGAGTAGCTCTGTGGGCTAATGCACTGGACTGCAAAGTCAGTTTGAACTATAAGGTTGGCATTCAAGTTCCCCAGCTGCTCCTTGGAAACCCTATATAGGGTCGTGGTGGGTCAGAACTGACTTAACAGCACTTACCACCACCACCACCACCACCACCAAATACTAATATTAGAAAGGAAATAACATAGTTTTTTAAAATTCATAAAACAAATATCTTGATTATTAAAACATAATTTAAAGTTTAAACCGCTATATAACCCAGAATTATAATTTCCATTAAATATACAGATGGCCCTTAATTTTTATGACCATTTATAGCTCATTTGTTTAAGTTATCAGTAATTTTTTACACAATGTACCTTTTGCTTTTTTAGATAGTCTGTCTTTCAGAGACCTGTTCTTGGGAAAATAGATAGTAGTGGATCGAGTAATGCACTGTTTTTTTAGTGCTTATAAATGTCATGTTTACCCTAGTGCATTTGAAAATTTTGTTTCTGCTTGAGTGGTAAGTATGCTATTTGTTAAAGTGAAACAGAAATATCTGTTTTATTAAAGAAAAAAACAGTATGGAGTAGGGTCAGTATTAAATTTTATTTTACTTTAATTGGATTTTAGGGTTTTATTTATGAGTATGTGTTTGTTTTAGTTTGTCAGTTCTAGTTCTAGGTTACATTATGACCACAGATATTTGACTTTAAGATTATTTAGAGACCTCAATCTCATTCTTTCAATGAATAACAAAACATTTATTTAGAAGGTGGTCTC